GGACCAGGCTACAGTGTTTTGGCCAGCGGTTGCACCTTGCAATTGGTGAGTATGTTGTACCTTCTTTTATATAGAATATACTCTGAGCATCAGTAGATGTTGGTAGGATTTCATTTGATTTCCCCATTAAATGAACTTTAGATTAAATTGATCTGAAGATTTGAATATCTGAAGATATCAAATTGATATTTGATTTAATAAATTAAATTTTGGTTTAAATTTAAATTTGATTGAATTAAATTTGATTTAATAAATGAAATTGAATTTATTTATTTAGTTTTCATACCTCTAAGACATTGGGCAGCATGTTTTTCCTCCTGTAATTGTGTTATGCATCTGCTTAATTAATTTACTGAGCATAAAATGTGAATTGATGTGAAATCTGATATTGCATACATATACACAACTATGTTTTTTGTGATATTATTTATTTACAGCATTATATAGTAATTATTGTTTTGTTTTCCCTTTATTTTCAGAGAGAAGCATGAAAGACCCCCGCATTGAGCGTGCTGTTGCTGTTTGTAAAAAGATTGTAAGCAGTTTTTCATTCAGTTGGAAGAAGAGGAGAGATCTGGCTACTGCGCAGAAAGAACTTAAGATCTCCGCACATCAGCTGATCAGTGAGTCGCCAACTAGATGGGGATCCCGTTACAAAATGATTGACCGGGTGCTGGAACAGGAGCGAGCCATTTCTCAGGTCTTGGCCACAGACAAAAAAACACGACATCTTGTCCTGACTTGGCAAGACCTGGAAGTCCTTGAGTCAGTGCACAAGGCTCTGAAACCCCTTGTGGATTTCACTGATGCCCTTTCAGGGGAGGACTTGTCACAGTGTCATGTGTCAAACCTGTGCTACATCTCTTCCATACAAGCATCTTGGCAGTTCATGAAGATGACACTCCACTGACCCAGTCCATCAAAGTCTCCATCCTGGACTACCTTCATGAGAAATTTGATGACCCTTCCACTGACACCCTTCTGGACATGGCATCATTAGTTGATCCCAGATTTAAAACAACGTACATTACCACAGAGAAGTTGGAGGAAATCAAGAACAGAGCCATAAAGGAGATGGAGGCAGATGTCATGCTGTCTGATCAAGGTGCTCCAGGTTCGCCTGCTTCACAGCCCAGTGAAATGGAAGTGGTATCAGAGCCAGATGCACCAAAAAAGAAAACACTTGGAAGTTTCTTTAAAAAGGCCAAAACATCCTCTTCCAAAACTGCATCATCACTTAGACAACTAATGGACGCAGAACTTTCTGCCTACTTGCAGTCTGTGAATGCCGACAGTGAATCTGATCCACTGCTGTGGTGGAAAGGCCATGAAGAAATATTCCCAAATGTGAAACAGTTGGCAAAAAAGTATCTGTGTGTACCTGCTACTAGCTCCCCATCAGAAAGGGTATTTAGTACTAGTGGAAATGTGGTGACATGTCATCGGGCCTCCCTCAAACCTGAAGCTGTTGACAGGCTTGTGTTTTTGGCACAGAATCTCAAAAAAACGAACCTTTTGCATTGATGAGGCCTATTCAGGGGTATTAATGTCACCATTTGGACATAAGCTTCTTTTATTTCAACTTAGCATCATTTCCTTTTTTACCACTTTGTGTGGTGTGTGTTTAAAATCTAGCACACAAAGAGTAATTATTACTTAAATTATTTTGAGATGCTCTAACACCTGTGATAAAACTGTTCTTGTACAGGGATTGTGCAGATATTGCCTGAACTTGGCACCATTTACCAGTTTAGCACTTTTTGTGTTTTGTTGTTCAAAATTTTCAGCATATGCAAATTGTTTAGAGAAGCTCTGATACCTGTGGCTTTTCTGGGTGAGTTGATTATATAGTCACTATTTAAACTTTTATTTTTGTAATCTGGACTCATCAGGTTTTTTGATTTTACAATTTTTATGCAAAAAGCACTAACAAGCACCTTTTTTTCAGACAGCTGGTTTATTTTTCATTGTGGATTTGTGCTTGGTGTACTTTTTTTGCTTGTTTATCTTGTTTATTAAAGGTATAGTGTTGACCACAGTAAGAGAAGTGGTACCAATTTCATTACTGAAGAAGATTTGTGTGCAACTGATGGTTTCAGTAAAACATTTTAAACTTATTCTGATTTTGTATTCAATTTAAAAAAAACATCAATGGTCTGTTTGAAAAGAGTACACCAGTGACATTTTAAATACTAGTTTAAAGTAACACTGGAGATTATTTATTAATATCGTGATATATATCGTGTATCGTGATATAGCAAAATAATATTGGGATATTAGATTTTCCTCATATCGCCCAGCCCTACTTCCATTGACCATTTTCTCACTGTTCTCTTTATTCCAGGTTGCCTCTGAACAAGGGTTTGTATTTTGAGCAAAGAAACACAAGACTGTGATCTGATTTGAAAGAGGGGGTCTTAGCGATATATGAATCCTTGTCATTTGCATAAAACGATTGTTTTCACTGGTAGAGCAAGTGACAAAATGTTGGTATGTCGGAAGTGTAGCAGAAAGTAAGACATGATTAAAATCCCCAGATATTGCAACAAACGTACTAGGGTGGTGTGTCTGTAGCTTAGCAACCACGGAGCTGATGACATCACACACAGTCTCTGCAACAGCATTGGGTGGAATGTAAACAGTTGCCAAAATAACACTGGTGAACTCTCTTGGTAAATAATATGGACGACAACTTACTAATAACAGTTCAATATCTGGACTGCAGAGACGACACTTCACAGTAATGTGTCCTAGATTACACCATCTGTTGTTCACAAGCACTGCCAACCCACCTCCTTTCCTTTTGCCACTCCTCTTTAAATCTCTACCTGCTCGTATGGTCAGAAAGCCTGGCAGAGAAATGCTGGAGTCGGGGATATGATCCTGCAGCCATGTCACAGTGAAACACATAACACTGCATTCCCAATACTCTGGATGAGTCGTTGTTAGGGCTTGAAGTTCATCCAACTTGTTTCCCAGCAATCTCACATTGCCCATCATGATCGATGGAAGAGATGGTTTGAACTTCATTCTCCTCACCCTCTTCTTTGCTCCTGCTCTGCATCCACAACGCCTCCTTTTCAACTCATTTGGGATTTGGGGCTGTAGTTGAGATATTTCAGCTTTGAAGATGTTAATCAGCTGCTCTCGGTTGTAAAAAAAAAAAAAAAAAAAAAAAAAACACCTTGTTGTTATGGTTACGCATCATAACAAATGTCCAAAAGCCAAGACGTTTCAGTAAAAATCCTTCCAGTTGCACAGCATCTGACGCCAGAAGAAATAATTGTCAAAAAAAACTATATCCAGGAAAAAAAAAAAAAGGAATTAAAAGTTTTTAAAAGTAATATCTCAGAATGAGATTAACAGACCTACTCCAACATACAGCCACCTTGAGCAGCGCAATTCTAGAACACGCATGAACTTTAATGTCTCTGAGAGTCGTTATTACACAATGATCACTCAAAACGTTGGCGAAAACGCATATAACGGGGAATTTGTGAGTCAGAGTCAGAGTCAGAGTTTCTTTATTGTCATTCGCACCTCATGTGGTACATGTGGTGGAGCAAAATTATGTACACGGGGTCCCAGTTACATCCAACAATAAAATGTATAATAAAAACAGTAATAACATCTAAGATATGAACTAAGAAAAACCTCAACTAAATATACACTAAGCACTCATAACATAAAACATTGAACATCAGCACAAACATGAACATGAGTCTGTGAGCAGATGTGCACGCATGAACACATCAACATTGAAACAGATCAGCAGCAACATGAAACAGATCAGCAGCAACATGAGAGGCATATTTGTTAGAAATAGGTCTAAGATGGAAGATTTTTCAGGACAGTTTTTGTTCCGTCTGGTGGGAGAGTCAATGAGTTGGGCCAGATTAAGTGACAGGCAACATTCCTTGAATTAATCACAGAGGGGGAATTGACTTTTCCCAATTGATATGGAAATGTCATGCAAGAAAAATCTCCTTGAATTGTAAATTAGCTAGGAAGTCTGTCAGGGAGAACAGAGCCTCAGGTGTTGCTGAGGGAGGATGGTAACAACCCACTACAGGTAAGATTTGGCCTCTATTCAAAGTGATGTTTACAGCTAAGGCTTCAAATTGGTTTGGGATTGGTTTTGCTGACACATGATTAGAATCCAGGGCTGCTCTGATGTAAATAGCAACCCTACCTCCCCTTTTTTGATGATCACAGCGATAGATATTAAATCCATGGATTGCCAGGTTATTATTCAAGATAGATTTGTTGAGCCAGGAATCAGAGATGATAATTACATCAGCCCAAGATGAATGGACCAGAATTTTCAAAGTGTCAAGTTTTCTCAAAAGACTGTGTGTTTACATGCAAAAAATGAAAACCTGACTTCTTTATAAAATCCTTTGGTGTGCTGTAATGAGTGGGGGGTCCAGGGTTGGGCTGGATCCCTGAGAGCAGTAACAACATTATCAGACATGTTCTTGTGTGTTTTTTTTGTGACAGATGTGTAATTACAGGAGTGTGACAATTAGTCTCCATAATCAAACCATGAGAAAAGTTTATGAAGACGCGACTACCCAACCCAGAAACAGTGAAGTTTGCAGGGAGAGGCAGATCCAGATGTGCTAACAAGGTTCAGTGACTCCAGATAGTATGAAAATGATGGAAATAATGACAGACAGACACACGTGTCTACATCTCCCAAACCTCCCGCAAATCACAAGAGCACATAGAATTAGGGATGTTTTAGGGGTTCTGTTAGGACACAGGCATTATTTGTAGTCACAGTTTGTCTTTTGTTTATACGTTTAGTTAGATAGATTTAATTTAGTTAACTTTTGATCGAGACTCCTGGGCTCCTTTCTGCTTCTTTGGCAAGTTTTCACTCAATGTTACTCTAATGGTTCTCCTTCTCTGCCCGGTCAGAGGAAAAACACATGAGCTGAGCTAATAGGGTTTAAAGTTGCCTCCTTCCCTCAGCAGGGACATGAGAGTAGTCCTACCTTGGCTAGTTCAGTACGGAGCTCTTCAGCTTCTTCCTCTGTTAGGCCTGGGTGAGGAGGGTGAGCAGAGTTCCCTACTGTTCCCTCCACTGGCACGTCAGACAGACTGTCAGAACAGTTCACACCAACACCTTTGTTAGGAGAGTTCAGGTTTATATCTGTAGGAATGGAGAAGTGAAGAAAGAAATGGAGGGGAATGGCAAGAAAACAAAATGCACAATGTTAATGTTTGACAGTCTGTTTACCACATGTCACCAAAAGCAATAAAGTACAATTTTGATGGGGTCTGTTCATTTGTCTGTCGGTTAGCAAAATACCTAAAATTAAATTAAAAAAAATCAGCACTGGATGGATTTTCTTGAAACTTTCATAAAGTGAAACTTGCTCACAGCATTGGAACAGGGTTTAATCTGTTATACTATGGTGTGGATAGTAAAAGAAATGGAGTGATTAATATCAAATATTAGATGATTTAAAGAGTTTGCAATTGCTAAGAAACTGTCAAGTTTATTTAGGACGTTATTTTCGAGCAGGGACTTCAAGGAAACCCCTTTGGCTTTAACAGGTTGAGAAATGACTTTCTGGTATGTTATTGTGGAAGTCAGCAGACAGACACAAAATATTTTGAGTCTCGCTTTATTCTCCACGACTTCCAACATCAAAATCAGAAAAAAAAAAGAATTACAAATGTTGGGCTTCTCCTCTTATATTCTGTCCCTTTCACAATAAAAGCATACATTCTGATGTGAAATACACCGTAATTTCCGAACTATAAGCCAATACTTTTGTCTCACAGTTTGTACCCCACGGATTATATGCAGGAGCATCTTAATTTTTTTTTAAATAATTTTCAAAATCCAAAAAAGTTCAATCTGGTCCTCTGGCCATTCAAAAAAAAAAAAACAAAACAAAGCAAAAAAATATAGAAACGTTTCGTCTCTCATCCAAGAGACTTCTTCAGTCTGAGGTGCTGTTTTCAGCTCAGTCTCTTAAATAGCACCTTCTCAGAGTGGATCAACCAGTTTGCTGCTGACAACCAGAACCAGCTGATCACATGCTCAAGGAGGACCATCAGCCTAACAATGGATCATTAGCACACTGATGGCTGTTTACAATGCTCTTATGCCTCTTTTCCATTAGTACCGGTACGGGCCGACACGACCCTACTTGGCCCGGTTCTGAGGCTTTTCCATTAGTACCGGTACTTAGCACCTGTTACTATTTTCAGTACCCTTGGCTCTGTGGTTCTAACCCGAACGAAAAGGTACAAAAACGTGACGTCAGAACATTGTCGGTCACTGATTGGTCGGGGGCGGAGTCACTGGATCCTTCAGAAACGTCTCAAAACAATAATCCACCATTTTCAATTTCTCGGACTGGAGCAGCGGCTGGACTTATTTTAAAGATTTTAAAAACAATACTGACAACATCTTGGTCTAATGTTGATGTGCTGGCATTTTTTGTGCTTGGTGGCCGACAACATAATTCAGAGCAAGCTGGATGGAGCTCTGCTGGTGTACCCCGATCCTCCCTCTGGAGCCTCGGAGCGCCAGACCGGGCAGGGCGTCATCTCCCCGGCTCCAAGTTCAGCTGGTCACCGCGAAAGATCCTTCGATATACCGACTCGGAGGCTCGGGTTCCGGATACCAGCCGTGTGTGCTCAGAGCTCCGCTGGTCACTGCGAAGCTGGAGATGGGGACTCACAGATGGCCGTTGTGAGACCCCGGCCGCACGTAATCATGAAGGCTGAATCCAGATCCCACCCGGCAGTCAGGCGGACTGGACAGTCTGGGACGGACGCTGGAAGCGATTTTTAAATAAAATAATATTTTGTTTTTATACAAAAAATGTTTTAAAAAATGCTGAAGCAATTTAAAAATGATTATAATTTTTTTACACGTAAAAGTTTTTTTTTTTTTTTTTTTTTTAAATCGCTTCCACCGTTCGTCGCAGACCCGTCTCTGTCCGCCTGTCTGCGCGGGTCGGGCCTTCATGATTACGCGAGGCTGGAGCCTTGGAAGGGCCCTGTGAGTGACCAGCTGAGCTGGAGCTGGGAGGATGAGCCTCCCAGCCTCGTCCTCTCCGGAGGAGAGGATCAGTGAGACCAGCGGAGCGTTGAAGATTAAAAAAAAAAAAAAAACGGTGCCAGCTTCATCGTGAAATCCTGTTTTCACTTTAATGACTGTTAACTCAGCTGAAAATCATAAAAAGACAAAACTATTGGATCTCAGAAATATTTCCCTCAAACATGTTTAAAGAAGAGACGACCTTCAGTTCAACTTTATTTTAACCCACAAATGTACAAATCACAAAACAAGAACTTTAAAGCAAAGCTAAAAATAAAATGTATATATGTGAACAAAAAAGAAAACCACACATTTAAAATGAACATTAAAAGTAGACACAATGAGTGCAAATACATCAAATGATGATGAAAACCTATAAAAATTTAAATCTAATGTTTTTGTAGAATCTGGTTCATCAGAGATTTAATTTATATACATATATATATATTTATATCTATAAATATATATAGATAAATATATATGTATATATAAATACATACAGGTCCTTCTAAAAAAATTAGCATATTGTGATAAAGGTCATTATTTTCCATAATGTAATGATAAAAATGAAACTTTCATATATTTCAGATTCATTGCACACCAACTGAAATATTTCAGGTCTTTAATTGTTTTAATACTGATGATTATGTCATACAGCTCATGAAAACCCAAAATGCCTGTCCCAAAAAATTAGCATATTTCATCCCACCAATGAAAGACAAGTGTTTTTAATACAAAAAACGCCAACCTTCAAATAATCATGTTCAGTTATGCACTCAATACTTGGTCGGGAATCCTTTTGCATGAATGACTGCTTCAATGCGGCGTGGCATGGAGGCAATCAGCCTGTGGCACTGCTGAGGTGTTATGGAGGCCCAGGATGCTTCGATAGCGGCCTTAAGCTCATCCAGAGTGTTGGGTCTTGCGTCTCTCAACTTTCTCTTCACAATATCCCACAGGTTCTCTATGGGGTTCAGGTCAGGAGAGTTGGCAGGCCAATTGAGCACAGTAATACCATGGTCAGTAAACCATTTACCAGTGGTTTTGGCACTGTGAGCAGGTGCCAGGTCGTGCTGAAAAATGAAATCTTCATCTCCATAAAGCTTTTCAGCAGATGGAAGCATGAAGTGCTCCAAAATCTCCTGATAGCTGCATTGACCCTGCCCTTGATAAAACACAGTGGACCAACACCAGCAGCTGACATGACACCCCAGTGACTGTGGAAACTTGACACTGGACCTCAAGCAATGTGAATTCTGTGTCTCCTCTCTTCCTCCAGACTCTGGGACCTTGACTTCCAAAGGAAATGCAAAATTTACTGTAATCAGAGAACATAACTTTGGACCACTCAGCAGCAGTCCCAGGCGAGATGCTTCTGACACAATCTCTTGTTCAAAAGTGGCTTGACCTGGGGAATGCAGCACCTGTAGCCCATTTCCTGCACACGTCTGTGCACGGTGGCTCTGGATGTTTCTACTCCAGACTCAGTCCACTGCTTCCGCAGGTCCCCCAAGGTCTGGAATCGGCCCTTCTCCACAATCCTCCTCAGGGTCCGGTCACCTCTTCTCGTTGTGCAGCATTTTCTGCCACACTTTTCCCTTCCCACAGACTTCCCACTGAGGTGCCTTGATACAGCACTCTGGGAACAGCCTATTCGTTCAGCAATTTCTTTCTGTGTCTTACCCTCTTGCTTGAGGGTGTCAATGATGGCCTTCTGGACAGCAGTCAGGTCGGCAGTCTTACCCATGATTGTGGTTTTGAGTAATGAACAAGGCTGGGAGTTTTTAAAAGCCTCAGGAATCTTTTGCAGGTGTTAAGAGTTACGTCGTTGATTCAGATGGTTAGGTTAATAGCTTGTTTAGAGAACCTTTTCATGATATGCTAATTTTTTGGGACAGGCATTTTGGGTTTTCATGAGCTGTATGCCATAATCATCAGTATTAAAACAATTAAAGACCTGAAATATTTCAGTTGGTGTGCAATGAATCTGAAATATATGAAAGTTTCATTTTTATCATTACATTATGGAAAATAATGACCTTTATCACAATATGCTAATTTTTTGAGAAGGACCTGTATATATGTATATAAATATATATGAATATATATAAATACATATATATGTATATAAATACATATGTGTATATATATACATATATATATATATATATACATAATTGTGTGTATATACATATGTGATATA